ACGACGACGACGACGACTACTACTACTACTACTACTACTACTACTACTACTACTACTACTACTACTACTACTACTACTACTACTACTACTACTACTACTACTACGAGGGGCCCGAACGACTTGCACCAGGACGAGGTGCCCGAACGCCTCACGCCACGAGGAGCCCGAACGACTCACACCAGGACGAGGGGCCCGAACGACTCACACCACGAAGAGCCCGAACGACTCACACCAGAAGGAGGGGCCCGAACGACTCACACCAGGACGAGGCGCCCGAACGACTCACACCACGAGGAGCCCGAACGACTCACACCACGACGAGGGCCCCGAACGACTCACACCACGAGGAGCCCGAACGAGTCACACCAGGAGGAGGGGCCCGAACGACTCACACGAGGACGAGGGGCCCGAACAACTCACACCACGAGAAGCCCGAACGACTCACACCAGGACGAAGAGCCCGAACGACTCACATCACGAAGAGCCCGAACGACTCACACCAGGAAGAAGGGCCCGAACGACTCACACCAGGACAAGAAACCCCAAACGACTCAAACCACGAGGAGCGCTTTCTCTCCCTCCTCCTCCGCCTCGTCCTTCTCCCGCTCCCACCACAAGGAGGATGTACAAGGAGGCGGGAGGAAGGAGGAACAGGGGAGATATGCGGGGGCAGGCGGAAACACGCCTGAAAAACACGACTGTCGGCATGCTTCGCAAGAGTTGCTGTTTTGAGATGGGCTGGTGGGGATACGCGAAGCGTAAAGAATTCCTAGGGGCTCCGAGGGGAAGGGCGAGCATAGCCAGCCGAGAGCTCTTGGGGGGGGGAGGGGGCGCAGCATGAGAGACCTTCGGCGATTGATCATCCACCGCCCGGGGAGCCAGTGCTGCAGGACCCCATGGCTGCAGGGCCAGTGGACCTGGATGCCTCTGGGCGCCCGGGGGCCAGCGTTCATCCACGTCCGCCGCCTCCCTAAAAGGTCCAGGAGCATGGGCTCCTCAGACGGTTGCCGTGCATCAGCCCCGGCCTCGGGCTGAGCGCCTCCGTCCAGCGCTGCGCCACTGGATCACCGAACCTGACGACCTTGCTGGGGCACTGGCACAGCTCGTTCTCGGAAGCACAGCGAGTCCAGCCAGAGGTGAGGGGGGTCGACAGAAGGGGACTGCCTGTGGGGGGTAGACAAAGACCTGCAATCGGCGATGCATTGCCTGCAGATCGGCGATGGGCCCAGACAGCCGCGCGTTGATGGACGGGTGATGGATGGGCACCCCGGCCATGATCGAAGAATGGGCGATTGGGGGTCGATGCTTCCGCCCCGATATAGAATTCCAACGTCGGGACGTTTTCACATCGTGGACCCGTAGAGTTCTGGACCTCTGCCGCAGTACCGGCTTCTCATCCCGAGTCGTTTTCTGAAGGCCCGGGGACCCAGTGAGGCCAAGAATCTGCCCAAAAAACCTTAGCTCACAATATTCTCCTGGCGAAAGGAGGTCTGGGGAAAGGGCGCCCAGGCTCCGATCGACGAGACGATGCGCCCACCCCCTTGGGCCACGATCAGAAACCTCCAACCTCCGCTCTGGAAGCTGCCCTTCCCAAACGGAAACTCAACATCCGAAATCCAAGGCATCCTCCGATCTGTGTTTTTGTTTCCGCGGCCCCAAGGCTGATGACCCCATCCCCAGCCGTGGCAAGTTTTTCGCCCCAGATATGTTTTTGATGGCCCTGGGGACCGAACGGGGCCTGGAGGTCTAAATCAAGGGAAAACGCCTCGATTGGGAAAAACATGTTTTTCGCGAGGTGTCGGAGGCTCCTTTTTCGGCCACGAGGGGGGGCTATGTTCTGCCACCCCTCACGAGGATCGTGGCCCCCGAGGGGGGGACCTAAATCGAATACCCCTCTGTTTTGACCGACCGCCTCCAAGATGGCCCCAAGAGGCCCTCCAGGGCTCCCAGGAGGCTCCCAAGGGTGCCCGAAGAGCGCCCCAAGAAGACCCAAAAGGCCTCCAATAGGTACCCGAGAGGCCTCCAAGAGGCCTCGAGCGGCCTCAGAAAACCCAGTATTACTTTCAAGATGGCTCAAATAGCCCAAGCTGGCTCAAGATGGCTCCCAAGATGCTCCAAGCGGCTTCGAGACCGTTCGAAGACGGCTCAAGATGGCCACGAAGCCTCCCAAGCCTCCCTCGCCGTTTGACTATGGATGCCTCTTCCTCTCTTCACCCCTCAACTCTCCTGGGCATTGTTTCTGGATGGGCTGGTGGGGATAATTTTTCGTGCGGCCGCAGGCGAACGCGCCAGGCAGCATCAGAGGTCGGGCGGGCTACGCACGAACCTAATTGCCTAGCGCACGGGGGCCGACGGTGGAGTTGGTGAGGGTACTTTTTGTCGCAGCCGCAAGCGAAGGCGCAGGCGGCGTCAAACTGGACGGGCGGGCCACGCGCGAACCTAATTGCTCAACGCGCCGCTGGTGGGGATATGTTTTTTTGTCAGCGGCCGCAGGCGAGCGCGCCAGCGGCGGGTCCAGTCAGAGCGGGGCGCGCAAAGACGAATTAACCTAAAGCGGTGGACCCAAGCCTCACGCAGCACTTCAGCGGCCGGGCCGGCGAGTGGGAAGGGGCTGACAGCAACTAATTAACCTAAGGCGACGGAGGGAAGCCACACCTACAGCGGCAAACCGAGCCCTCACGCAGCAGCCCGGCGGCGGACCGGCGGGTGGGGGGACAGCTGAAACGGAGTCGAACTGCTAGCGCGCCAGTGTGCAGAGCGTCGGACACCACGGAGTCGGGACACACGACGACCCGGGCCAGAAACCCAAATTAATGTAAGGACGCGGCCCCAGAAAACTGCATGAGTGCCAGGGTGGCCCGAAGGACCGTCGATCAAAGAATTCAAGCCAGGAGGCAAAAGCGCTGGCAGGCTGCAAATCCCAGGGTGGCCGTAGCCGCATAATCCCGAGGCAGCAGAACGCACGAGTGCGGGAAGCAGCGGGGCTGCGACGCAGCCAACATGGCGCGGGTCACCACGAACCAGTGCGTAAAGTGGTCTGCTGGGGATGTTTTTTTTGGTCAGCGGGCAGACGCGTAAAGCAGTCGCCGAGAGGGGGGTCTGGGGCACGGTCCAGCCAAATTAACTACCGAGCCACGCGCGAGACGGCCGGGCCAGCACTCAGAAGCGGCGGCCTGGGGGCAGCGGCTGGGGGGAGCTGGCAGGGTAGCCTGCAGACGCCCAGGGTAGCTGGTGCAACGTGCAAGACGGAGGCTGAAAGACGCCAACGTTGGAATTAAGTCCTGCACGCCAGGAACGCATGATCGGCTCTGTACCTGCGACCACGCATCAGACTAGCGCAGCGCTTCCACTGCCGGGCAACCCAGTAAGCGGCGCGCTACCAGGAACAGAGAGCTGGAAGCCACGCATTCGAGCTCAGGTACCATGGACAAGAGAGACCAGGTACAGACTGACCATGTCGCCAAGAATTGTGGGGAAATCTCAGTCGAACCAGCTGCCGGATCAGGTGGTCTAGGACTCCCCGTCCCCTCTGTGGGACTCTTCTGTTACATTTTCTGTTTATCACCATTATCAGAACCGTCCAGCGGAACGCTCTTCGGGAAAATAATTGATTTGAAAAGTCATCTCGCCGGAGATCTGGGACTGAGGACTCCGATCCCGTGGGACAGTCCCCGCCCTGTCGGCGCTCCCCCGAGGAGGACGTCCCAGCGCCCCGCTCCAGCAGGCCGCTCACGTTCTTGCTCTCCTCGGGCGCTGCTGAGTCTGGGAGCAACGAACGGGGGGCGGCCCCGACGTCGGATCCGTCGTACTTCCCTTGGTGGAAGCTCCGGCTCAACACTGCGTGGAACATGCACCCCAAACGATGCGAAAAAGTAGGGCGGCAAATTGCCGCCTCCGAAGAGTGGGGCGGAGATGTGCGCAAAGGTCTGGCGGCGGCGGAAACAGCGATGGCAAAGTGGAGCGGAACGTGACATCAGAGGAGCTTGAGAAGCAGGGCGGAAATCCCCGTCCCACTTGCGGAATCGCCTAAAGTACGCTGGCACCCGCCACGAAACAACGACGACGACAGCTACGACCTCCTTCCATCCTCACTAAACGAGAAAGAGCAAGGGGAATACGAGGAGAAGGAGGAGGAGGAGCACCAGGCCGACTAACGAAGTCATCGCATTAATCATGCATCACAACAAAAACAAACAAGTTAGCCTTCGTCCTGAAGAGGAGGAGGAGGAGGAGGAGGCGGAGGAGCAGGAGGAGGAGGAGCAGGAGGATGAAAAGGAGGATAAGGAGGAGGGGGAGAGGGGGGAGGAGGAAGAGGTGTTAGGACCAGTCCTATCACCGCCGAGTGAAAAATGGGGGATGATCAAAAGAAAAGACCCTTAGGCCTTAGGCGTGTTTTAGTCACCCCTCATATTTAAGTAACCAAGAGAGCCTCAGCGGTTGAGTCGTCTGATGTCCCACAGCGCTCCGTCGCTGCTTAAACTAGCCTACGAATGGCCCCCATGCCCCATGCGCGGCGCTGAACGACAGCCCGCCGCATCGTGCAAGAGGCCGGCCGCGGTTGTCCTTGGTTTGACAACGTTCAGTTCTGACTGCGCGTCTCTTCGTCACCCGAGCCCTGCATAGGGCCGACTTGTTCGATTGGGCACAACGCCAAATCACTAGGTGGCGACATCTGAATCCTACCCCCACCGCTCATCAGTTCTTCTGAATCGACGGGGAGCGGGGTAGGGTTCGGATTTCGCCGCGTAGTTGATGAATCCCGAACCCTACCCCCGCCGCACATCGAGTTGCCTGAATCGTTGATCGGCGAGGGCAGGGTTCGGATTTCGCCGCCGATTGTTCGATGGGGCACTCCCCAACACGAGACGCCCGATCTCCTGGGTGGCCTCCATCCACCGGCGCAGCTCCTGCAGCGCGGCCACCTCCTGCAGCGACGCGACGCCGGACACCCACTCCACCAGGTCCTTCGGGGATGGACGACGACGACTACGACGGCGACGACGCCGAATACGATAGAAGGAGGAGGAGGTGGAGGAGGAAGAGGAGGAGGAGGAGGAGGAGGACGAGAAGGAGCGGGAGGAATAGGAGAAGGAGGATGAGGATGAGGATGAGGATGAGGAGGAGGAGGAGGAGGAGGAGGAGGAGGAGGAGGAGGAGGAGGAGGAGGAGGAGGAGGAGGGGGAGCGGGGAGCGGGAAACGGAAAGACCGATCCCAAGACGCCCCCCCACTGTACCTCCTGGCCTGGGACAAGGAGGCGGTGGGCGACAGGGAGAGCTGGGGGCCGCAAATACGGGTGGGGACAGACCGTGCAGTGACCTCGGAGCCCCGAGAGGCCTCACCGCACGGTCCGTCACCGCACGGTCTTGGGACCCTGTCCCTAGTCGCCCGACAACCCCTCGGAGAACGACCCGAGTCTGAAAACCGTGCGGTCACCCCCAATCCAATCCCCGAATGGAATGCAATCACAACATCTTGTGGTCAGCACTCCGTTCGGGGGGCCTGAGAAAAGAACAGGGCCCAGACAAACTCTGACCAGCATAGATCTGGGGCCTCTGTGGAGGGGGAGAGAGTGAGGACCATGACCAAGATGGAGCATGGAAAGGTCGGTGTCGATCTTGTTTCAAGGGGCCCAGGGACACGCACAAATAAAGGTACACAAATCCCAGGTTTCCCAACAGGTGTTCAATGTTTTATGGATTTTCCTCCTCCACTTCCCATATTTTCCATCTGCTCCTGGGGATCGACGCGTCATTGTTGTCTGTGTGTGTTTGTTTCCTCCTGATTGTTCACCGTCCGCCTTGGTCAGCCCCAGTTCGTGGATAATCCTCCCGAATCGGCGACGGCTGGCATGGACCATGACCAAGACCGGCGTCGACAGAACCCCACGGCATGCTGGTAATGGTCAGAGTGTTTCTTCCCTCGACTCGCAGATCCGGCGGTTCTGGAGGATGCGTCGGGCGCCGTGCAATTCCAGTGCGCTCGGGAACGACCTGAGGGCATTCCGGATCGCTCCAGACGCCCGAAAATGGTATTGAAAAAACGGGCATGATACCCAACAGCAACTGTTGTCCAAAACCGGAAAGCCGACGCTATTGGGCGGGCGGCCTTCTGGCTCGAAGGGGCACCGTCCGCGGGGCCGCCGACGAAGAGTCCGGTCCAAAGGGAACTGGAACTGCTGTCGGTCTTTCTGTCAGTTCTTTCCGTACCCATGTCGATCGTATCGACCTTGCGTCACCCTTGCGTCGGGCCGAGGAGGGCGGGGCGTGGCCTGCGGGCGGCCAGTAGGGCGGCGCGGCGCGCTTTGGCACGATGCCCTGCTGGCCCGACTTCGTGCTCCACGTCTTCTCCGTACCCATTTCGATCGCATCGAGCCATCTGGCCCTATAGCCCATGCCCGACAAGCACCTCGACCTTCTGGGAAAGCGGGGCCGAAGGACCTCTCGGGATCCTCTCTACTGGCCCAGGCCAACATGCAAAAATCCCGGGCCAGCCAGGCTTCTTTCAGGATCTTGCAGGATCCCCCTCCTCTTCCTCCTTCTCCTCCTCCTCCTCCATCCCTTCTCCATCCCGCCTCCTCCTCCATCCATCCTCATCCATTATCCTCCTCCTCCTCCAACAACAACAACGTTCCTCCCGCCACCTCCTCTTCCTCCTTCTCCGTCCTCTGTCTCCGTCTCCTCGTCCTCCTCTGTCCTCTTCCTCCTCCTCCCCCTCCTCCTCCAGTGTCTCCTTGGGATCCTCCAGGATCTCCTCCTGGATTTCCAAAGATCCTGCAGGATCCTGGGAGCTAGCACGGGTCAGTGCAACCCTGGCTTTGCAGGATCCTGCAAGAGCCAGCGTTCTGGCTGACCCCCGCCAGCATTGTTCCCCGCCTCCACCCGACTACCTACCAAACCACCCCAACCCGACCCGAAATGCCAAATAACGGGTTGGGGGGCTTACGGGTACCACTGCGACTGCTCGGTGTTCTGGGATGTCACCCCGCTTGGAATGGAGGACAACTTGGAGCCTTCGGGTTGGGTTGGGGTGGTTTGGTGGGTAACGTCGGGGACCGACTGGCCCAGGTTAATCCAAACAACCCGGCCCGGGTCTGTCGGGGCTTGCAGGATCCTGCAAGATCCTGCAGGATCCTGCACCCAAACCAGGGGTAATGCAACCCTGGCTCTGCAGGATCCTGCAAGACCAGGCGCTCTGGCGGACCCCCTTTTGAATTGACCCCCGCCTCTACCCGACTACTTACCATACCACCCCAAGCCGACCCGGACAACAGGTTGGGGGGGGCTTACGGGCTGCACTGTGACTGCTCGGTGCTCTGGGACTGGAGGACAACTTGGGGCCTTCGGGTTGGACCGGGGTGGCTCGGGCGGGTGAAAATGGGGGGTGGCCCAAATGGGGGGTTGAAGAGAAGGGCCCTACAAGGGCCCTTCGTGCCGCTTTAGGAGCCAGTTGGTGGCTAAAAGGGGCCCTCGCATGCCTCTTTAGGGACTTCTCCATCCCACCCCCCCCTGTGGGTCAGCCCCCATTGCCACCCGCCCGCGTGGCTTGGTGGGCAGTGACTGCCAGCTCGACTCCCGGCCCCGTCCTCAGGACTGGCTTCTCCTCCCGAGCTCCCCGCGGCGGCCCAGGGTCCCGAAGCCAGCCCTCTGCGCGGGCAGGCCCGCCGCCCCCCTCTCTCCGCGGAGCGCCGAGCGCTGGGCGCGCGGTGCCGACGTGCCCCAAGGCCGGCGTGTCGCTCCGAACCGTTCTTGCTAGGGCCTCAGGTCCCGGAAACGGCCCCCATCACAGTGGGCACACACATTGGCGTGTTAGCCAGCGTGTGCTGTGCAATCTATGTGGAACAAACTAGGCGGTTCAATCTACGTGTTGCAATCTATGTCGTGCAATCTATGTTCTGCAAACTACGCGGTGTGATCTACCAGCTGCAGTATGTATGTGGTGTGCCATATCGGTGGGCCAACATATGTGGTGCACACTCTAGGCGGTGCAACACATGTGGTACAATAGAGGGGGTGCAGTCAATGTTATGCACGATTGGGGGTGCGACATATGTGGTGAAACCTATGTGAAACTACCAATGTGGTGCACGCCGTGTTGTGCCATATATGTTGTTCAGTCTAGGTTATGCAATCTATGTGGTGCAACCTATGTGGTGCCAAACATGTTGTGCAATCCATGTTGCGCAAAGCAATGCAACGCAAAACAATGTAACGCAGCGCAATGCAAAACAAACACAGCAATGCAAAGCAATGCGAAATACAAACAAAAACAATACAACACAATGCAGGGTAATGAGAACCAGTGCAATGCAATGCAAGGGTGCGGCGACGGCGACAACAAGCGCGGCGACCGACAGCCAGGCCTAGAAGCAGCGGCTGATGGTGGCGACGGGGCGGCGACGGCGACAACAAGCACGGCGACCGACAACCAGGCCCAGATGACGGTCAGGGACGAGGCGGCGCCAGGGCGGCGACAGCGATAGCATAGCCGCCAGACCAACAACCAGGCCCCGACGAAGGGAGGCGACGAGGCGGCGACGGGGCGATGACGGCGACAACATAGCAGCCAGACAAACAACCACCCAAATTCCACCTTCCAGAAATAGGAACCCTCACGTGCAAGCACTGCTTGGGAAATGCGTTTCCCCAGTAGCGTTTCGCAGAAGGGTTCTAAGAATGCTCACAAGACTTTCTACACCAGAATCTCCGCAAAAGGGGGCGGGGGGGGGGGCGTCTCCCAGGCCCGGCGGCGGTCCGGAACGGTCCGGAATCGCCTCATCATGGCGTTCTGGATCGATTTGGTTACACATGAAACTCACTATGCTGCTCTGGTGCGATTGAATCCAGAAATGACGCTGGCTATGGCGTTCTGCTTCTATTGCATTGCACCAGAATCTCCACATGGGAGGCGTCTTACCTGTCTAGAACGGTCCAGAATCGACTCGGAGGTATGGTGTTATGGCTCGATTTCGGCCATCGCAATTCCAGACATGAAGCTCGCTCTGATGTTCTGGCTCGACTTCGCCAAGAAATGACGCTCAGAATCATGTCCAGATGACAGAATGAGCCTCGCTATGGTGTTCGGGCTGGAGTTAATCCAGAAGATACACTCACGATTGTGTTCGGATCCGATTTCCTCTCACCAGAATCTCCGCACAAAGGGGGCTGGGGGGACGCGTCTCACTGGTCCCTGATGATTTTGTTGTGATTCGATTCCTGCCCTTGCAGCCAGAAAAAAAAAATCGCTCTGGAGTTCTGGCTGGATTTGGTCCAGCAGAAATGACGTTCACTATGTTATTCTGGCTCGATTTCAGCTGCCCAGATCCAGAGATGAGGTCCACTGTGCTCTGGTTCGATTTGGTCCAGACATGTAAAGGGGGTGGGGGCAAGGGGAGAGGTACGCGTTCGCGTCACCATATCGGCATCACGAACGTCAACCCTCATCAGCAAGTTCAACTCCGTAATCGAATCGACAATATTGATGAGGTCGCCTCGCAAGCCGACGTTTCAGGCGTCCATCCGCATCCGCCTCCACACTTTGGCTTGAGATATGTCGAGGTTTGAACTTGCTGAGGTGCCCCTGGGCACCTGCAAGGTCACATGACAATTGGGGGATCCGAGACTTCCGTGGGGCACCTGCTGGCAGGCCGATATTTTTCTCAATGTGCCTCCTGTACGCGAGCTCGACGGGGATAGCGAGGCGGCGGCGCGCGTGGGCTGCCGTTTGCGCGCGTGCCCTGGATCCTGCACGCTACCCCTGTGAGGCGATTTCCCTGCGAGGGCCCCTTCTGTGCACGCTGCTCCCCCTGCCAGAGCTCTGTCGGTGCAGGCTACTACCTCAAAGGCACGCTATCTCAAAGGTGGGGACAGCGTGCAAAACCAGGCCGCCGCCAGCCCCCAACCGTAAGCCGAAAGCGTCAACAAAGACAGGCCGCCGCGACCGCCCAGATCTACATGCAGTCCTGGCGGGGGCGCTCCGCCCGCGACGTCCGCGGCCAGCCATACACGCCCCCCTCGCCTGAGGGCCCAACATGACATCCCGTTGCCCCCCCTGGAAGATCAACAGCTTGCACAGGTAGAACATTTTGGAGGTGCACACAGATTTCTTGGATCTGCGCTGGAAGCCCGCCCTTGCGCGAGGAGCGCGCCGGGGGGGCCCAGCAACGATGCAAGAAATCCGCGCAGAGCTCCAAACATCTTTTGTTTAAGCACTCTGCTCTTCTTCCACCCTCACAGCGTCACACGCTGGCATCCCTGGCAAGGGGGCCCTGAGATCTTGGCGTCGCAAATTTGCTCGATGGGCGATGTTGCCATGTGTATCGTGCCTGGCGATCCTCACAGGCCGGTTGGGCTCGGAAAATGCAGCAAGAAGATGGGGTCCAGGGCTCTGGCCGATATTGTGTTACGATATTGTAATTTTCTCGTGACGTCGGATCTCACGGGAAGAGGTGTGGGTAAGAACTCGGTTGCCCTCGAGGCTGGCGCTCAAGCGGGGGCTGCTCCACAAAAATCCGACCCCCAGTCGCGGCACCCACTCGGCAAGTCTGCCTCACCGACGTCGTGGTCGGGGATGCAGGATCAGTCAACACCGAATCGGGGAATCAGATCGGATCGAAAGGAACATCGGATCGGGCTGCATTGGCACGCAGCCGCAATTAAATCGGATCGGCCGCGCCAGGATGCAAACTAGCGCCATGCAAGCATCGGGCCGCACCGGGCCTTGCAGGGTCCGTTAGATCCGACGCCGCGAAAAAGTCACAACAAAAACATCACGAACAATCACGACTGGAGCCCTAGAGCCAATTTGTCTGCGGCATTTCTTGAGCCAGACCGACCTGTGATGGTCCCGGGGCCCGAAACCCAGCGTAAACGCTAGTTGTGAATGATGGCGTATGTCATAAACGCCGAACAATGGAACATAACCCCCGTATCGTGCCTGGCGACAATAACATATTGTGCGGGCCGTATAACAGTGATGATAAGCTGACGGGCTGTTGAGCTGATGCTGGGTACATGTATATATATATGTATATATATACACGTTCGCCACGGTAGGCCCAACACACACTGCGTTTCCAGCCGTATTGGTTTTGCAACTTGCGTGCAGCAGTCAATGTGGTTCAATATGCTGCGCAATCTATGTTGTGAAATAGGAGTTGTGCAACATATAGTGTGCAATCTTTGTGGAGCAGTATGTGTGGTGCAATCTAGGTGGCGCAACACGTGCTTGCAATCTGTGTTGTGCCCGATATATGTAATGCAATCGCCGTGGTGCAATCTGTGTGGTACAATGTATGGTGTGTAACCTATGTGTACAATCTACGAGGTGCAACTCACTTACCGAACGTGATGTTGACAACCCCAATGCTCGCGCAATCATCCCACCCACCCACCCGCAACTTCGTTTGCAAAATCATGCGGGAGCGATTGCGATGAGTGGTGGGTGTTGGCTGGTACATCTCTGCGGCCGCGCTAGCCCGCGCATGCTCGCGCGTGCAGCGGCCAACTAGATTGGCGCGACTGACGCGAGCGCGGTGGCGCTGACCGCTCGGCACATCCAAGGCGGGCACTTCAATGCGAGTCGGCGACTTGGGCGGGCGCGGTATCATGGCAACGTGGCCAACAGTAGACACGACGATGATAATAGCAATGCTGGCGACGATGCTGACAGTGACGACGGGGCAGCCAGTGACGGCGCCGATGCTGATCACGCCGACGACGATGACGGCGTCTTCGCTTCGGTGATAAAGAAGTTTTGGGACGAATTCGAAATGCGCGCGCGGAAGACGCGCGAGAGTGGCTCGCATAGTATTATTTGACACGCATCGTGCCACCCCAGCGCGCGCGCAAGGGCGTTCGAACGATTTCGACATGCGCGCGCGAAGCCCGTTCGGTAGCATCTTATGAAAACATTGGAACTTTTTTTTGGTTTTCGTAAGAATTCGCAAGAACGCACGCGCACGTTTCAATTGAAAACCCGTGCTGCGGAATCCTGCGTTTCTGCCTTCCCGAACCAGAGGTTGTTGAAGGATTTCGGCATGCGCGCGCGACGACGCGCGCGTGTGCACTTCGTTTCATGGTTGCAAAGGATTATTGAAAACTTGTGCTTTTCCATAAACGAGTGCGCGCAACGTATTTTTTCAAGGAAACCAAAGGGCTTCCGATACCGGCCTGGCTGGGATAGTATGACTTCACAGGTAGAATGAACATTTGGGTCAGAATCATATGTGTTTCGCATCGGTTCCCGGGGAGTCGATAAGTCCGGGGGAGGGGGAGGGTGCCAGAACCTGTCTTTTTAGAAAGGAGAATTCATGCGTTGCAATCGGCGTAGTGCAACTTATGTTCCGCAGTCTAAGCAGCGACGGGGCGGAGCGGCGACAACGGAACTGCGAGACCGACGCCCAGGCGCAGACGACACAGTAGGAACTGCAGTGACATATGCACTAGCAGCTCATATTGCAGTGGACTGGGACTTGTAATCGGATTTGTGCCATCAGCTATAGTCGAAGCTGCAGCAAGAGTTGCAGTAGGAGCTGTGCTCGTGGCTGTGTGGAGGTGCTGCGGATGGAGCTGTAGTAAGGATTGTCGAAGTCTCTTCTGTAGACATGTAGTGGGACTTGCAATGAGGGCTGCAAAAGAAACGCGTGAGAAACTAAGGTGGGAAATGCGTTGGCAGCAACCTGATGCTCTGTAGTATCAACTGCAATGGGCATGGCTGCGTGGGCTGTTGGTGAAAGGAAGATTGCGATGACGGCTGAACCAGGGCTTGCAATAGAAATTGTTCAATAAGCTGTAAACGGAGTTGTAGCATGAGTTCTTCTGAGAGCGGTACTAGTGGCTGTGCGAAGGCCATGCTGCCAGAGCTGTGAAACCAGCGCCTAGCTTGTTGTCGTTGTTTGTTTTAATGGTGTGGCAAGTGTCCAAGGTGATGTCGTGATGGCTCTGGAAAATGCCACCCGCTGTAATAGGATGTGGTATACGATGTGTTGGAAGCCGTGTAGTGGGGGCAACTGTAAAAGCTGTTGTGCTAATTGCATTAGCCGCTGCGCTAAACGCTGCAACGTGAACCATACTGACGGCTACGCCAAGAAACTGCCGTGCGAACTGCGTTAACAGAAGCCGTGTGTGTTCTAGTAGAAGACCGAATGGCAGCTGTGCGGTTGGCTTCGCTGGGGACTGCGTGTGGACCTGCAGCGGGAGAAACGCTGGGACCTCTCTTGGAATCTGTACGATCGGAAACGGCTTTATATTTTCCCAGAGAGGTCCGATAATCAATGCTGGCAACGTCCGCAGGATCGATACGGGCGGTGGAGATGGCAACAAGAACTGCACTGGCTCATGTAAACGGACGCGAGGCATAACCTGCAGCCGGGGATGTAGCAGGAGGTGCGGGGAGAGGTGCCTGCTTGTAGATGGTACTCTTCTCAAAGCTGCACTAGCAATTAGCAAACGCGGGAGTGCAAGCTCAAAGAGGAAGCTCCTGCAAGAGTTGTCGTAAGAGCCGCAGCGGCAACTGTTTCCTGGCTACAGCAAGAACTGAACAGACCCGTGTCGTACGTCGTGGCAACTGTAATACTGCTGCAACAACGGCTCGTTGGTGTGAGCTGTAGCGAAAGCCGTGGCAACTGCAAGGCTGGCTGAACCATGAACCGTTGTAGGAAATTTAACTGGAGCTGCACTGAACACTAAGTAGCATCAGTAAAAAGAAGCTTATGTACAGCCCTCGGGGCCCATGTTGCGGATTTAAAGGCGGCCAGGCCTTAGCCCAAACGTTTCGGGAGCCCCGGGGGGACAGGATGGCGGCAACCACATCTCCCTGCGGGTGCCCCCCCAAACAAGTAAAGTTAATGATGGTTGAACAGTAGCCCTGGCGGGCAGTGGCACGCAAACGAGCATGTATTCGTTGAGCAGCAATGCCTCAGGCGATGCCATGCCGCCAACAATTGTGAGCAAACACGCATGTATCAAGGACAGCTGTGACTAGACCCTGCACCGTGCGAGGCCGCTCGAAGCGGGAAGAAAAGAACAACCATGAGGGAGATTGACAGAAAGGAGACACCAACTCACTCAACCAGTGGTCACACAGCCAACGAAAAGCGAGAACATCTTGAATAATGGATCGCATCGTGGAGGTTGAAAAAAGACGGGTCAACATCATCACGCTGACATCCAAAGGAGCAACCGCGCGCTTGGGAATGTCATCGGGCCGATGTACTCACACCAAGGCATACTCGCACCACGGGGTACCAGATCCCCGAGAGACTGCGTACGCTGGGAAGTCTCTCCAGGAAACTTGAAACAAGGCAAAACAACGAAAGCATGAAAGTAGTACGTTCAAGCGCTTCCCCAAATCCCCCAAGTGGAAAACGCTCTGATCTTCAACGGTTTAACACTTTCGATTTTCCTGGAGGGACTGCGCAACTTGCGCAGTCCCTCCAGGAACAATATGAAGGCTCTGAAACGGATACGCGACACATCGTTTTTCAGTCACAGGATTTAGGGAGCATGGAAAACACAGATGTGTTCAGCTTTCCTGTCGCGCTTCTGGCGCGAGGGGAGAAGAGAAGGAGGAGAGGGAAGAGGAGGAGGAGGGGGAGGAGGAAGTAGAGCGTGGCCGAAGGATGGGGAGGAGGAGGAGGAGGAGTAGAAGGAGGAGGAGGAGGAGGAGGAGGCGGAGAAGGAAGAGGAGGGGGGGAGAAGGAGGAGAAGGAGGATGGGGAGAAGTAGGAGGCGATGAACACGATGAGCGAATGCGTTCATTGCTTGGTGGTCCGATGTGTGCTGGGGAGGTCGTCAGTCTGTGCATATACAAATATATAGAGATGTACACATACATACATACATACATACATACATACATACATACATGCATGCATGCATACGTACATACACACATACATACATACATACATACATGCATGCATGCATGCATGCATGCATGCATACATACATACATACATACATACATACATACATACACACAGACATACATACATACATACA